CTTCCTTTAAGGCCATTAATGTCCTGTCTTTCTCTCCTCGCTTTAACACTCTTTTGCGCTTTATTGCTTTAATGTTAAATGTTAACTGATCATAGCTTAACTAATTAAAGATCGGCATAAATTGTGTGATCTTTTTTTGGGTGATTATTACACATTTTTACTCTTTTTTTAAGGATTGTTTAAACAGAATGAGAGAGAAAGCGAGCGGCACGCGTATTAAGACTACAACAATTAACTAAACCACCAAACAGAAAAAAACACTTAAAAGGATCATCATGATCTTCAGGTTTAACACTTAACACATGTGTGAATGAATTGTTTTTTTTTAAGGAAGAAAACTTAAAGAAAGAACGAGATAGCGAGTTCACAGACCATACTGATCTTCTTTGGTGGCTTAGCGGCGTTTACACTACACAACATTTGCGCAGGCGTAACATTTATGTTGTTTTCTTGTACATTCCCTTTTGTCGCTATTGTTGTTAATGGTTGGTGTTCTTATTAACGCTTATTGTTGAGTATTTAGAGTTTATTATAACATTTTTAAAATATGGCCCTGCCTAGTTGTCCTTCCTTTTTTTTTGTTGCTTTCGTTAAATGCTTTCACACATGTGATCAGACAATACACAACAATAAACTGCGGTAGACATTTTGGTGGCAATTGTTGTCGGTAAATGCTTGAATGCATCGCTTATTTTCAAAGGCCTTCAACGCCTCATCATCAAGGAAGGTGGCAAATAGTCTGTTGTCTTGCATTGATTTAATTGTGGTTGTGTGGCAATAATCATGATGCAACATTGAAAATCACACAAGTATGAAATCGAATTTTTGAGTTGGAAAAGAAAAATAAAACCACCGCTATTTCACTTTTCAATGGAAGGACTTATGAATTGGGTGGTCAATACTATAAGGTAGAGCATTACTAAGGCCACACACGGGAGTCAGGGGAATATTCTCACGCAGGTTTTAAGAGAATACATAACTGCTGATAGAAATTATGTTTGCAAAATAGATCAGTTGCGATGAAGATCACCTTCAAAATATGTTATTAAAAGATATGGCAGATCAGTTCTATATATAAACAGACTTCTTTTCAATTTCGTTTTTCAATATCTTTCTTATCTTTCAAAAAACTGCTTTAAAATCGAATGATCTTTGTTCAAAGATCATTGAAATTTCACGATCAAAGGTGAAATATTCGTTTTGTATTTTAGTTAGATCAGTAATGAAGGAAAGAAAGCGCGGATCTAAGTAATGCTTCTTTGGACGATCAGTAATGATCCAAGCTAAAGCATTCGTTGTCTGTATTAAGAGGCAACGGAATTTCAGTTGAAGTTTAGGGAATGTTATTGAACTCAACTTCAACTTTGAATCGATATTAAAAACCATCAAAGTTACGAAGATGATGAGGATCTTAAAGATATGTTCTGTCAGATGTTAGATCAGTAACGATCGTAACGAAAATACTCGCGTCTGTATTAAGCGTCAACGTAATGTCTGTTGAAGTTAAGGACATGTTACTGAACTCAACTTCAACTTTGAATCGATATTGAAGATCATTCAGATGACAGGGATCTAAAAAATTTGTTGTGTCAGACATTTGTAAACGTCTACGATCTTCTGGATGTTTAAAGCGAAAATCTTGAAATGATCGTCGAATGTGTAAAGGAGATGATAAATGTTAGATATGAGAGTTGGAAGTTTATACAAACCCTTTCTTATGACATTTAATGGAAAACTTCATGGATATTGATAAAACATTTTAAATATGGATAGAGGACAAGAAGATGAAGGCAATGAAATAAGACTTAATATTCAACTACATATATCTTTCCGAGACCCTTTCAAATCTAATAACTTTAAAGTTAATACAGGTTTCCTTCTCATAAAACGGTTCTAGATTCCTTAAGATATTTAAATGGAAACATCTGACATGGATCGTGATTGATCGGTATCAAAGGTATTGAGGAGATTAAGATGAAGGGGGAAAAATGGAAAGAGTCTGAAGCTATATATATTTCTAAGAACATTGACAAGAGTTATCCAGAGATGCGTGCAAAACTGGAATTTACATAGCAAGTCGAAGACGAGATTAATCAATAGAATAGAGGAGATTGAAATACATGGGAAATTGAGATGTCTAGTGGAAAGCGTATAAAAATCAAAGGAAGACATAAACTTTCCACGATTTTTGGAATCCCAACTTTTGAGACATCTCAGCGATCAGATGCCTCATAGCTGCAGATAAGGATAATAGGAAAACTCAGTTATTAAGACATCCTTCAAAATGAATTGTGGTTGGAATTATAAATCTTCTTTATATAGCTGAATCCTAAAGCCATGCATTCGAAGGTACATATATCCTTAGTGATCTACTGATTAAACAAGGCTTTTTTTGAAGAACTTTGGAAGAAGGAGAAGAGATCCACGAATACTTCAGTTGTGGTCGACTGACAACTAAACAAGAGTATGAACAGCTTAGATTCCATAAGTTTTATAGAAGGATCATTTGTGATAAGAATACTAAGATCAAGAGAAAACTGATCTGATCGTTTATCGCTTATTAAGTTATCCAATATAAAGTAGTTCTTTGGCGAACTAGTATTAGTCAGTTGACGAACCTGTATAGTTTTGTTTGGACACTCAAAATAAGTTCTTTTTCTTCTTATCGTTTTAATAAAACAGTAATTAGAAGAGTACTTTCGGTTTCAGTTTACTCCGATTGCATTTGGAGACACTATCTGCATAGAACTCGTTGAACAACTTGAGGAATTGCTTTCAGTTGGTATGTGTAAATCTTCTTTATATCCGAATTCAAAATGTAATGGATTCGAAGTTAAATCTTTGGCGATCTACGGCTCAAACAAGACTTTTTCTAAAGAACCACAGGACAAGGTGACGATATCCATATTCAAAAGTGTTATTGGCTCGATTCCTTTACATGATCCTTGGTACAAGGAGACGAGATCCATATCAGGAATCTTATCATGAAAACCACTTCGTATTGAGTCAAAATTTGTGGAAACTAAAACTGATCGATTTCATTATCCTCAGCAGACATTGTCGTACTCTATTTATATAATACGGGTACCATAACATCACCACTACTTACTTCGATTCTTTGATATGAATCTTGGAACAAGGAGATGAGATCCAAACGTAATAGCGCTATGGGTGACAACAAGGCACATGAAGAATTCGGTTGCGATAAGATCAGCACAACTTCGACTCCTTTGAATGACTCTTGAAACAAGGAGACGAGATCCATAAGTGATCGTGTGGTTGGTGACAACTAGCTTTATGAAGAACCTCTTAATAATGGGTACAATATTGAGGAAATGAAACTGATTGACTTTAGTATCCACAGCTGGTATTATCGTGCTAAATTTATTTAATCCGGCTGCGATTTGATCACCACAACTTCGACTCCTTTGCATGAAGTTTGGAATAAGGAGATGAGATCCATACGTTATCGTGTTATTGTTGACAACAAGCTCCATGAAGAACCTCTTAATATGGAGTTCAAAATTGAGGAATTTTACACAGTATTGCCGTGTAAAATTTATTTAATCCGACTGCGATTTGATCACCACAACTCCGATTCCTTACATGAACTTTGGAGCAAGGAGACGAGATTCATACGTTATCGTGAAGAACCTCTTCCTCTTGAATCAAAATCAGAAGAAATAAATCTGATATATTACAGAGTCCTCTTCTGGCATTATCGTGCTAAATCTATTTCATACGGCGGCGACAAGATCACCACTATTTCGATCCTTCGCCATCTTTTCAATGAATGGCATTCAGAAAGTGTTTTAAAGACTAATGCCGTTGGTTATCCTTAATCTTAGCATCCAAAAAGGATTTCACTTTACTAATCAACAATATTTTTTCATGATCATTGATCTTATCTTATATAGAGCACAGCAAAACCTTGAATATTCATATTCAATCTAATCATATTACATTTTCATTCTAATAACAACTTGCTGTCAAATTAATACCCTCCAAAGTGGCAGTTCTAAAACCTATTAAAGGAATTACTTAAATTCTCTACACTCCATAAGCAAATTTCTTGGACAACAAGGAAAACTTGCCAGCCAGCAGGAATAACAAGAAACTTATAAATGTTACAGCATTGGGAAATTAAATCAAAATAACTGTCGGCTTAGGTCAAAACATCAAAAGAGTAATGTTAAATAACTGTGAAAAATCAATGAAAAACCAACCATTTTTTCTAAAAGAAAAAATTTTGCAAACAAGATTTTACATGTTTAAACAACAACAACAACTAAGACATTTGGATAAAGAATAGGCTAAGGCAAAAGAAAAGAGGGTTGGTCTTGGCTGTAATGCAATATAGTTAAGAGAGAATGTGTGAAGAAGAAAGAGAGAGAGAGAGAGTGAGTAACGCAATGTAAACAAGCAGCCATTGTTGATGTGCTATAACAAAGGTCTCTTTCTTACACGTGGTGGTTAAAAGAGATCTATGTAGGTGTGTGGAATAAAAAGAGAGAGCAAGAGTAAAACAGATCGTTACTGTAGGGCTGTTTCTTTTCTTGCTTTTGCCAACAAGCGTGGGTTAGTATTTGTTTGTTGTTTTTTTGATAATGTTTGTTATTGTTTCAGGTTTTTGTGTGTTTATTTTTTTCATGTGTGTCAAACTGCTATTGTGAGCGCAGAGAGAAAATCTCAAAAGTTCATTTTACTCTTAGCACTGACCATTTCTAAATCAGTATCAACTAGACTAGCAAACAAGTCACATCTACTACAAACATTAGAAAAAAAAATTTATTACAAAATTTGAATTTTTTTTCTTAGTTTTATAACAAAAACAAATAAACGAACTTAATTTGAAAAAAAAAACTAAACGAACATTTATAACAAAATTGAAAAATTTTACAAGATAACAAGTGTTTTGTGTTAAAAGAAAAAAATTTTACTTAAAAACCTCTAATAACAATTGGATTATATTTTGTTAAAACGATCACAATTCAACAACTATGGCTGTTTCAACTTTAAATATGACTCCCTATTTTGCTGGATATCCCTTTCAAGGTAATTATTACAACAACAACAAAAAAACAAGATTTTTGTTTAAAAATCAAAAAATCACCACAAATTTTTGCTTGATCATGTTATTGATCGTGCTTAAAATACCACAACAACAACTCTAAGTTATATTCTTATCAAATTTATTAAGCTGATCATGTTGTAGGCATCATAACTCTAAAAGGCTTTCCTCTTTTATGTTTTCATCATGTCTACACACACACAAAAAAAAGAGCAATGATCTTCAAGATCATTATGTGTATCTTCTCTTTTTTTTCTTTTGCTTTGTTTACGTTTCAAAAACAACATGATCATGAAGTTTAACATTTAAGCTTTACACATGTTTCTTTTTGTTGTTCTTTTTTACCTTTACTGCCAGACGTTTTGGCGCGTTCGGCTTAAAGCTTTGATCTTGCTCTAAGAGACTGTGTGTGTGTGTATCTGTAAAGATCACCTTAAATGAAACTTTCTTTAGCAACATCTTCTGTGTGATTAACTTGCACAGCTGGAGCATATCTTTTGTATGGGAAGACTCATTTGATCTTCAGTTTGCATACATTTTAAGAATCTTTTAAGTCAATTCTTTAATTTAAATTTATTTAAACACAACAAAAAGATTATTATAATAAAAAAATAAAGAAAAATCTTTTCCACAAGATTGATTTGCAAAATTGCATAAAAATTTAATGCAAATTTTCCTTTTTAAACTCAAGTCCTTCATAAGGATTATCCTGTGTAGTTATTGTTTTAATACAACAATACTAATTGTTTGCTAAATAGTAGAGATCGTGTGTGCGTGTGTGGTATTTTAAGCAATTGAGCAATTTTGTAAGAAAACGTTTAAGCCCAACTTAAACAAATCTCTTTTGTTTGTTAAACCAATTACTTATTTCTTTACTTATCATTATTTTCTAGGACAAGGTCGTGTCAATCAATTGGGTGGTGTTTTCATTAACGGCCGTCCCTTACCCAACCACATACGCCGTCAAATTGTGGAAATGGCAGCCGCTGGTGTACGTCCCTGTGTTATCTCCCGCCAATTGCGTGTTTCTCATGGTTGTGTTTCCAAGATTTTGAATCGTTATCAGGAGACAGGGTCCATACGCCCTGGTGTTATTGGTGGCAGTAAACCTCGTGTGGCCACTCCTGATATTGAGTCCAAAATTGAGGAAATGAAACAGGAAAATCCTGGCATTTTCAGCTGGGAAATACGCGCTAAATTGATTGAGTCGGGTATGTGTGATAAGAACACTGCTCCCTCTGTAAGCAGCATTAGCCGACTTTTACGTGGTGGCCGTTCGGAGGGTGGTTTAAATGGCCATTCTATTGATGGTATTTTGGGACCCATGTCCGGCAATTCGGGTGATGATAGTGAGGATGATAGTGAACCTGGTGTAGAGCTTAAACGTAAACAAAGACGTTCACGCACCACCTTTAACAATGAACAAATCGATGCCTTGGAACGTGTTTTTGCTCGTACTCAATACCCTGATGTTTATACACGCGAAGAATTGGCTCAAAGTACTGGTTTGACTGAGGCCCGTGTGCAAGTATGGTTCTCCAATAGACGTGCTCGTCTACGCAAGCAATTGAACACACAACAAGTGCCTTCATTCTCAGCGCCCGCTTCATTCAATACCTCTCCTACCGCCCAATACCCCAGTCATCATATGTCCTCTGCCGCCCATAATATGGGTTTGTATACTCAATCTGCCTCCTCTTGGCCTGCCTTAACTGGAGTTGCTGCCAATAGCTATGAACAAAATCATACATATTCCCACTCTACTGGCTCTTTGGCTTCCTTGTCACCCAACAGCACCACCAGCTCTAGTTCTAACACTCATACACCTTTGCAACAAAGTCCTCAACATAACAACAACTCCGCCTCACCCTCTAACACTGCCAGCGGTAATCAACAAAACTATATCAACAACTCCTCCTCCTCCAACACATCCTATGCTCCAGTTAATCCTACTGCCTCAAACTCCACTAACTACTCCAGTTCAGCCTACAGCATGCCCTCTAATACCTCTGCCTTCTCCTCCTCTTCCGCTGAACAATTACGTTCACAATTTGCCTCCGCTGCTGGTGTAGCTTCCCATCATCATCATCATCACCATCATGCCGCTGCTGCTGCCGCCTCCTGGGATAGCTATAACTTTGCCAACTCTTTCTTTCCCTCCGGCAATAATCACATGAACTCCTATCATCAACCCATTGTAGATCCCAAAGCTTCTGCCTCTTCGTATGCCTACTTTGGTTTCTAAACTCTCTATCATCTCTTATCTCATCTATGCCGCTTCTTGTTAATTTGCATAACTCTCTCGTTTATCTTCGTGTTAATGATCAATTTATATTCTAAACCGAAAAAATCAAAATCAAAAGCCTTTCATCTTATCTTTTATGGGCGTGTTAATTTATTTCTTTTCGTTCCCTTTTGCTTATTTATAACTTCTTTATTATTCTCTTATAATTAGATAATATTTTCTTTTATAAATTTTTGATTTTATTTTTTATATTTAATCTAGTTTCGCTTAAGAGAAAACAAGACTTTGTAATTTGTTTAAGATTATTCTTTGTCTTTTTGTTTTAAGAATGAGTTTTTGAGACTGTTTTAATTATTTAAGTTTTAGTTTTACCTTTATAAGTCGTAGTTTGTAAGTAGTTTTATTTCTATTAAGGCAAATGCCTATTGTTTGTTTTTTATAAAAAAATATATATGAAAATGAAAATTAAAACTCGATTGTTTGTATTGAAAAGTGTTAAAGATCTTACCTGATCATCTTGGGTTAAACTAGTTTGTTTGTGATTGATCTTCACTTTGAAAAAGTGCATTTCATTATCTGGTTCTTGTAATGTTCTTTACATTGATCGCTTTTATTTCCTACCGCAACTCGATTTTTGGGTGAAAATATAAAAGTCCATTTTCTTGCTAAACTAGAAGAGCTAGGGCCAAAACAGTGAAAATCTGTGATCACTTATATTTCCTACCAAAACTCGATTTTTGAGTGAAAACATAAAAGTCCATTTTCTGGCTAAACTAGAAGAGCTAGGTCCAAAATAGTGAAAATCTGTGATCACTTTTATTTCCTACCAAAACTGGATTTTTCAGTGAAAACATAAAATTCCATTTTCTTGCTAAACTAGAAGAGCTAGGACCAAAACAGTGAAAATCTGTGATCACTTTTATTTCCTACCAAAACTGCATTTTTCAGTGAAAACATAAAAGTCCATTTTCTGGCTAAACTAGAAGAGCTAGGGCCAAAACAATGAAAATCTGTGATCACTTATATTTCCTACCAAAACTGCATTTTTCAGTGAAAACATAAAAGTCCATTTTCTGGCTAAACTAGAAGAGCTAGGGCCAAAACAATGAAAATCTGTGATCACTTATATTTCCTACCAAAACTGCATTTTTCAGTGAAAATATAAAAGTCCATTTTCTGGCTAAACTAGAAGAGCTAGGGCCAAAACAATGAAAATCTGTGATCACTTATATTTCCTACCAAAACTGGATTTTTGAGTGAAAACATAAAAGTCCATTTTCTGGCTAAACTAGAAGAGCTAGGGCCAAAACAGTGAAAATCTGTGATCACTTATATTTCCTACCAAAACTCGATTTTTGAGTAAAAACATAAAAGTCCATTTTCTGGCTAAACTAGAAGAGCTAGGGCCAAAACAGTGAAAATCTGTGATCACTTATATTTCCTACCAAAACTCGATTTTTGAGTAAAAACATAAAAGTCCATTTACTGGCTAAACTAGAAGAGCTAGGACCAAAACAGTGAAAATCTGTGATCACTTATATTTCCTACCAAAACTCGATTTTTGAGTGAAAACATAAAAGTCCATTTACTGGCTAAACTAGAAGAGCTAGGACCAAAACAGTGAAAATCTGTGATCACTTATATTTCCTACCAAAACTCGATTTTTGAGTAAAAACATAAAAGTCCATTTTCTAGCTAAGCTAGAAGAGCTAGAGCCAAAACAGTGAAAATCTGTGATCACTTATATTTCCTACCAAAACTCGATTTTTGAGTGAAAACATAAAAGTCCATTTTCTGGCTAAACTAGAAGAGCTAGGACCAAAAGAGTGAAAATCTGTGATCACTTTTATTTCCTACCAAAACTCGATTTTTGAGTGAAATCATTAAAGTCCATTTTCTGGCTAAACTAGAAGAGCTAGGACCAAAACAGTGAAAATCTGTGATCACTTATATTTCCTACCAAAACTCGATTTTTGAGTGAAAACATAAAAGTCCATTTTCTGGCTAAACTAGAAGAGCTAGGGCCAAAACAATGAAAATCTGTGATCACTAATATTTCCTACCGAAACTGGATTTTTCAGTGAAAACATAAAAGTCCATTTTCTGGCCAAACTAGAAGAGCTAGGGCCAAAACAATGAAAATCTGTGATCACTTATATTTCCTACTAAAACTGAATTTTTGAGTGAAAACATAAAAGTCCATTTTCTGGCTAAACTAGAAGAGCTAGGACCAAAACAGTGAAAATCTGTGATCACTTATATTTCCTACCAAAACTCGATTTTTGAGTGAAAACATAAAAGTCCATTTTCTGGCCAAACTAGAAGAGCTAGGGCCAAAACAGTGAAAATCTGTGACCACTTATATTCCCTACTGAAACTCGGTATTTGAGTGAAAACATAAAAGTCCATTTTCTGGCTAAACTAGAAGAGCTAGGGACAAAACAATGAAAATCTGTGATCACTAATATTTCCTACCGAAACTGGATTTTTCAGTGAAAACATAAAAGTCCATTTTCTGGCCAAACTAGAAGAGCTAGGGCCAAAACAATGAAAATCTGTGATCACTTATATTTCCTACTAAAACTGGATTTTTGAGTGAAAACATAAAAGTCCATTTTCTGGCTAAACTAGAAGAGCTAGGACCAAAACAGTGAAAATCTGTGATCACTTATATTTCCTACCAAAACTCGATTTTTGAGTGAAAACATAAAAGTCCATTTTCTGGCTAAACTAGAAGAGCTAGGGCCAAAACAATGAAAATCTGTGATCACTAATATTTTCTACCAAAACTCGATTTCTGAGAGAAAACATAAAAGTCTATTTTCTGGCTAAACTAGAAGAGCTAGCCAAAACAATGAAAATCTGTGATCACTTTTATTTCCTACTAAAACTCGATTTTTGAGTGAAAACATAAAAATCCATTTTCTGGCTAAACTAGAAGAGCTAGGGCCAAAACAGTGAAAATCTGTGATCACTTTTTTTTTCCTACCGAAACTGGATTTTTCTGTGAAAACATAAAAGTCCATTTTCTGGCCAAACTAGAAGAGCTAGGGCCAAAACAGTGAAAATCTGTGATCACTTTTATTTCCTACTAAAACTCGATTTTTGAGTGAAAACATAAAAGTCCATTTTCTGACTAAACTAGAAGAGCTAGGACCAAAACAGTGAAAATCTGTGATCACTTTTATTTCCTACTAAAACTCGATTTCTAAGTGAAAACATAAAAGTCCATTTTCTGACTAAACTAGAAGAGCTAGGACCAAAACAGTGAAAATCTGTGATCACTTTTATTTCCTACTAAAACTCGATTTCTAAGTGAAAACATAAAAGTCCATTTTCTGGCTAAACTAGAAGAGCTAGGACCAAAACAGTGAAAATCTGTGATCACTTATATTTCCTACCAAAACTCAGTTTTTAAGTGAAAACATATAAGTCCATTTTCTGGCTAAACTAGAAGAGCTAGGGCCAAAACAATGAAAATCTGTGATCACTTATATTTCCTACCAAAACTCGATTTTTGAGTGAAAACATAAAAGTCCATTTTCTGGCTAAACTAGAAGAGCTAGGACCAAAACAGTGAAAATCTGTGATCACTTTTATTTCCTACTAAAACTCGATTTTTAAGTGAAAACATAAAAGTCCATTTTCTGACTAAACTAGAACAGCTAGGACCAAAACAGTGAAAATCTGTGATCACTTTTATTTCCTACCAAAACTCGATTTTTGAGTGAAAACATAAAAGTCCATTTTCTGGCTAAACTAGATGAGCTAGGACCAAAACAGTGAAAATCTGTGATCACTTTTATTTCCTACCAAAACTCGATTTTTGAGTGAAAACATAAAAGTCCATTTTCTGGCTAAACTAGAAGAGCTAGGGCCAAAACAATGAAAATCTGTGATCACTTTTATTTCCTACTAAAACTCGATTTTTGAGTGAAAACATAAAAATCCATTTTCTGGTTAAACTAGAAGAGCTAGGGCCAAAACTGTGAAAATCTGTGATCACTTTTATTTCCTACCAAAACTGTGATCACTAATATTTCCTACCGAAACTGGATTTTTCACAGATTCCTACCAAAACTCGATTTTTGAGTGAAATCATAAAAGTCCATTTTCTGGCTAAACTAGAAGAGCTAGGACCAAAACAGTGAAAATCTGTGATCACTTATATTTCCTACCAAAACTCGATTTTTGAGTGAAAACATAAAAGTCCATTTTCTGGCTAAACTAGAAGAGCTAGCCAAAACAATGAAAATCTGTGATCACTAATATTTCCTACCGAAACTGGATTTTTCAGTGAAAACATAAAAGTCCATTTTCTGGCCAAACTAGAAGAGCTAGGGCCAAAACAATGAAAATCTGTGATCACTTATATTTCCTACTAAAACTCGATTTCTGAGAGAAAACATAAAAGTCCATTTTCTGGCCAAACTAGAAGAGCTAGGGCCAAAACAGTGAAAATCTGTGATCACTTATATTCCCTACTGAAACTCGGTATTTGAGTGAAAACATAAAAGTCCATTTTCTGGCTAAACTAGAAGAGCTAGGGCCAAAACAGTGAAAATCTGTGATCACTTTTATTTCCTACCGAAACTGGATTTTTCAGTGAAAACATAAAAGTCCATTTTCTGGTCAAACTAGAAGAGCTAGGGCCAAAACAATGAAAATCTGTGATCACTTATATTTCCTACCAAAACTCGATTTTTGAGTGAAAACATAAAAGTCCATTTTCTGGCTAAACTAGACGAGCTAGGACCAAAACAGTGAAAATCTGTGATCACTTTTATTTCCTACTAAAACTCGATTTTTGAGTGAAAACATAAAAATCCATTTTCTGGCTAAACTAGAAGAGCTAGGGCCAAAACAGTGAAAATCTGTGATCACTTTTATTTCCTACCGAAACTGGATTTTTCAGTGAAAACATAAAAGTCCATTTTCTGGTCAAACTAGAAGAGCTAGGGCCAAAACAATGAAAATCTGTGATCACTTATATTTCCTACCAAAACTCGATTTTTGAGTGAAAACATAAAAGTCCATTTTCTGGCTAAACTAGAAGAGCTAGGACCAAAACAGTGAAAATCTGTGATCACTTTTATTTCCTACCAAAACTCGATTTTTG